GAGTAGAGTAGAGTAGAGTAGAGTAGAGTAGAGTAGAGTAGAGGAGAAGAGAAGAGAAGAGAGTTGGAAGGGATCTTGGAGGTCTTCTAGTCCAGCCCCCTGTTCAAGCAGAAGAACCTATACCATATATCAAAAGTTGTCTTTTGGAAAAAGCACCTTTGGGGACAACCATGTCTTGGATGATTGAGAACCTCTTTAGATAATTGTTTGGGTATTAAGAGGTACAGTAAAGATATTATTAGCATTAACAATATCAGCATGTTAAAAAAAAAAAACTAATAAAACTTAGCCTCCCAGAAAACCAGAGGTGACAGTGAAATTCCATAAAATAAATAAATCAGTCAATCCACATCTAGAGGTTGGATGGAGAGAATCCATTGGTGTTTTCAGAGATGCTTCTAAAATTCTGCTCTTTGTTTCCTCTTTTTCTAGCCTACCATAGCAGATATTTTACATCTTGGATGGTGGGCATCTGCAGCTGCCTGGTAAGTTGGAATTTACAGACAGGATCATTACACATTTGAAACGTATGAATGTCTTGATCAAATTCTGTAAGGATAGGATATAAAATAGAGTCGGAAGGGACCTTGGAGGTCTTCTAGTCCAGGGGTACCCAAACCCTGGTCTATGGACCGGGCTATGGCATGACATCTCCGGTCTGTGAAAAAAACACTCTCCGTTCAACCAGTCCTTGGTGCCCAAAAAGATTGGGGGCTGCTGTTCTAGTCCAACCCCTTGCTCAAACAGGACACCCTATTCCATTTCAGACAATTGTCCAGTCTTTTCTTAAAGACCTCCAGTGATGAAGCACTCACAACTTCTGAAGGGAAGCTGTATCTTTTCTTTTATGTACACTGAGAGTTTATGCAACCAAAGACAAATTCCTTGTGTGTCCAATCACACTTGGCCAATAAAGAATTCTATTCTGTTCTGTTCTGTTCTGTTCTGTTCTGTTCTGTTCTGTTCTATTCTATTCTATTCTATTCTATTCTATTCTATTCTATTCTATTCTATGACTATCATTGTAAGTGTTGTACTTTATGATTCTTGATGAATGCATCTTTTCTTTTATGTACACTGAGAGCGTATGCACCAAAGACAAATTCCTTGTGTGTCCAATCACACTTGGCCAATAAAGAATTCTATTTTGGCCACTCGGGAACCGTCCTATATTTACAGCTGTTTTGCAACATCCTACAGTGACATGACTGAAATTTATGTTTTTTGTCATCAAGAATCATAAGGTGCAACATTTAGTGATAGTCATGGGTTACTAATAAGCAATCAAATCATACTAGGAAACAATAAAAACTATAAATTGTAAAGATGCAAGCAACATGGTTATAGTCATAAGTGGGAGGATAGGTAATAAGTGGGATAGGTAATAGGAACGATGAGAAGATTAATAATAGTTCAGACTTAGTAAATAGTTTGACAGTGTTGAGGGAATTAGTTGTTTAGCAGAGTGATGGCGTTCGGGAAAAAACTGTCCTTGTGTCTAGTTGTTCTGGTGTGCAGTGCTCTATAGCGTCGTTTTGAGGGTAGGAGTTGAAACAGTTGATGTCCAGGATGCGAGGGGTCTGTAGATATTTTCCCAGCCCTCTTTTTGACTTGTACAGTATACAGGTCCTCCATGGAAGGCAGGTTGGTAGCCATTGTTTTTTCTGCAGTTCTAATGATCCTCTGAAGCCTGTGTCTGTCTTGTTGGGTTGCAGAGCCAAAATCCAGAGGTGTGATTTTTTTTTTTTAATTTGATTTATATGCCGCCCTTTTCTGGAGACTCAGGGCGGCTTACTGTGCGTTAAGCAATAGCCTTCATACTTTTGTATATTTTATACAAAGTCAACTTATTGCCCCCACAAACTGGGTCCTCAATTTACCTACCTTAGAAAGGATGGAAGGCTGAGTCAACCTTGAGCCTTGGAGAGATTCGAATCTGCAGTAATTGCAGGCAGCTGGTCTTAATAACCAGCTTAATAACAGGGTGCCTTAGACCACTGTACTACCAAGGCTCTTATTATGGGAGGGAGGGAAATGGTGGCCACCAGAACTTCAGAACCAGGCTGAAAGTACCTTTTGAGGGTTCCGTCCTAACTCTGAATGGCCACTAAGTGACCGGCCGTAAGTCGAGGGCTACCTGTGTACAAAACATGGAATTAGCAACAGAGGAAAATGTAAGAATTCTTCATTGCTGGGGTCGCTATAATGGATACTGATGTGGTTGTTCTATCTCTGTGTTGTTATTTGTTGACCTAGGTCTATTTTGCAGCAGCTGGTCTGGGGGCTGACCTTCCCACGTTTCCTTGGGGCAGGTAAGTGAAGAAAACGGGAGAGAAAAGTTGTATCCATCGGCAACGTCACACAGAGGTGACCATGTTTTTTGTTCCACAGCGGAAGTGGAAGAAGATGATTTCAGCGGCTTCCCATCCAAGCAGAGTTGTATCACGGTACAAACGCAATATTTCTTTGGGTCTGACGATAAATCCTTCAATGGCATTCTGGACTGTATCAACTGTTCTAGGTAGGTGTTATTTTGAAACTCTTAATGCATTCACCCCCCCCACCTTCATAATACCTTGTTTTCCCCAAAATAAGACATCCCCTGATAATAAAATAGCCCAATCGGGCTATTGAGCGCATGCCAATAAGGCCAAGCCAGGGGTGAAATCTAATCTCTTCCCTTTTTAAATACGTAAATTTTAATCTGTTTTTAAATTATTGGGGTATTTTAATTTGTCTGGGCCAAATAATTTAATTTGATTTTATCGGGTTTTTAAATTTTGTGTATTTATGTATTTTATTGTTGGCTGTTCACCGCCCTGAGTCCTTCGGGAGTAGGGCGGTATACAAATCAAATAAACTAAACTAAACTAAAACTAAAATTTGTTACTACCGGTTCTGTGGGCGTGGCTTGGTGATGGTGGGGGTAATGTGACTGGGTGGGTGTGGCCAATTTTTTTTTTTTTTACTTTTAAAACCATTTTTTCTACAACCTCTTCGGCGAAAAAATGCTTTCAAAAGGCTCTGACGATCCCAGCTGAGTTGCCTGATTGGCAGAGGTTTTTTTTTTCTTTTAAAAGCCTCTGCCGATCAGGCAACTCAGCTGGGATCATCAGAGGCTTTTAAAAGCATTTTTTTTACAACCTCTTTGGCTGAAGAGGTTGTAGAAAAAATGTTTTTAAAAGAAAAAAAAGCCTCTGCTGATCAGGCAACTCAGCTGGGATCGTCTCCGCCCTTCTCCGGAGACTATTTCAGACAATATTTGCAACGACTGTTGTTCATTTTCTAATACTGAAATTCCCCGGATCTCAGCCTTTAACTGTTGGGTGTCATTTGGCTTTTTTTTCTTCTCAGGCTTTTTCACGCAGAGAAGATTTCCAACACCAATTTGGTTTTCATCATGAGTGACAGTAAAGAGTTGTGTCATCATTGTGACACGAGGCCCCTGATGCAAGCAGAGAAACCTGGTATCCTTTTCCGCTTGACTTGAGACTGGATTTCTATTTTGCTTACAAAAGAACATTGGAAACATCTGGAGAATATGTTTCAAAACTATAACCCAGACCAGTAGTTGTTTTGTGTCTGGGTGTTGGTGTGATGTGATGTTATTCTTTTTTTTTTTAAAAAAAAGTTTTTTATTAGTAATTCAAGTTAAAAAAACAATAGGCATGGTTTAACCTCTCTGGTTTTCACCATTATCGTCAAATTTAAGCAAATACATGACATACGTCTTTATCTTTGTACAAATGTACGTTACTTCTTGCACGTCAAGTATATAAATTAATTCCTTCTAAACAGCTACATCTATACTGAATATAATCATATCTCACACATACAGATTTAACATACGTTGACGTGTCCATTTCTAGACATTCATTACACCTTCATCTTGGCATTCCTCCTCCTGTCCAACCGGTCATAAAATTTAGTCCAGATTTCGTAGTACGCTGATTCAGTTTTATCCTTGAACTTATCCAAGGTAAGTCGGTCCATTTCTGCACAATTGAGGATTTTGATTAGCACTTCTTCTTCTTCTTCCAAGGGGATTTCTTTACTCTTCCATTTTTGGGCAACGTGATGTGATGTTATTCCATACCAGCTTCCTTTCTGTACGGTCTTAAGATGTTCATTTCCATTGACTGGTTGATTGTGTTCCATTAAGTCAGTATTCACCTTTAGCAAGTAGACAGAGATAGACCCTCTCCAGGGTAAAACATAAACATAGCTTTTTTTTTTTTAAATTTGATTTATATGCCGCCCTTCTCCAGAGACTCAGGGCGGCTTACAATGCGTTAAGCAATAGCCTTCATACTTTTGTATATTTTATACAAAGTCAGCTTATTGCCCCCACAAACTGGGTCCTCAATTTACCTATCTTAGAAAGGATGGAAGGCTGAGTCAATCTTGAGCCTGGCGAGATTCGAACTTACTAATTGCAGACAGCTGGAGTTAAATTACAATGCATTAGTCTGCTGAGCTATCCAGGCTCCCAGCTTTAGAACAATACCATTGTTATTTATTTTTTTTAAAAAAAGCAGTTTGGTCTAGTGGTGAAGGCACCAGGCTAGAAATTAGGAGACTGTGAATTCTAGTCCTGCCTAGGCACAAAGGACAGTTGGGTGACTTTGGGCCAATTACTAGGAGATGGGGAGTTCTAGTCCTGTCTTAGGCACAAAAGCACCTGAAGGCAGGACAAAGAAACAATGGAAGGGAACAAATCAAGGAGACAAGCAACCTAGAACCAAGGAGAAATTTCCTAACAATGAGGACAAAACAACCAGTGGAACAGAAGTTGCCTTCAGAAGTTGTAGGTGCTTCATCACTGGAGGTTTTTAAGAAGAGACTGGACAGCCCTTTGTCCGAAATGGTATAGGGCAGTGATGGCTACCCTTTTTGCAGTCGCGTGCCAAAAGCGTGGGGAGCATGGGGGGGGTTTGCATGTGCCCACACCCATAACTCAATGCGCCCCGTGCATGCGCACCCAACCCCCCGTGTTTCCCCCGCTTTTGGCACACGATGGGCCTGGTAGGCCCATTTTTTTGCCCTCCCCAGGCTCCAGAAGCTTTCTAGGAGCCTGGGAAGGGCGAAAACGGCCTTACCCACCCACCCAGAGGCCCTCTGGAGGCTGGAAATGACCCGTTTCCTGATTTTCACTGGGACTGCAAAGCCTGTTTTTGCCCTCCCCAGGCTCCAGAGCCTTTCTAAGAGCCTGGGGAGGGTGAAAAAGGCGTCCTCCCCCCCCCGAGGCTCTCCAAAAGCCAGAAACAGCCCATTTCCTGACTTCCGGTGGGCCCAGAAGGCCCAAAACTCAGCTGCGTGTGCCAGAGCTAAGCTAGGGCAATGCTCATGTGCCCACAGATATGGCTCCGCGTGCCACCTGTGGCACACATGCCATAGATCCGCCATCACGGGTATAGGGTCTCCTACTTGAGCAAAGAGGGGCTGGACTATAAAACCTCCAAGGTCCCTTCCAGCTCTATTCTGATTGATTGATTGAAGTGGTGCTGGGAACAACGTTCATTTCCTAGCAGCGTGTTTTCTGATCGTTGTGATTCTTTCCTTGCTTTGGATTGACCCCGTGCCTTGTGAATTCTGGCTTTTTCTTGCCTCTTGTGTTGTGGATTTAATTTTGTCTGATGGGTTTAATTTCATCAGGAAACTTTCAAGTGCCTGGTGGACTCACTGGCCATTGCTCGGTGGATTAGCATTGGTCTGTTCAGGACAGTCTTGGGTTTGGGGTGAAGGGAATTGGGGGAATGTTAATAAACCCACTAAACCACAGTTCAGTGTTTCCCAAGGGATGCGGTGGCTCAGTGGCTAAGACGCTGAGCTTGTCAATCGAAAGGTCGGCAGTTCAGCGGTTCGAATCCCTAGTGCCGCATAACGGGGTGAGCTCCCGTGACTTGTCCCAGCTTCTGCCAACCTAGCAGTTCGAAAGCACGTTAAAAAATGCCAGTAGAAAAATAGGGACCACCTTTGGTGGGAAGGGAACAGCGTTCCGTGCGCCTTTGGCGTTGAGTCATGCTGGCCAAATGACCACGGAGATGTCTTCGGACAGCGCTGGCTCTTCAGCTTTGAAATGGAGATGAGCACTGCCCCCTAGAGTCGGGAGCGACTAGCACATATGTGCGAGGGGAACCTTTACCTGTATCTTAAACCACAGTTATGTGTGTGTGTGTGTGAGAGAGAGAGAGAGAGACCGGGAATTGTGAGAGAATTGTGTTCTGTTCCTTAACCGATGGGCAGATGAAGGACCGAACCCTTGTGAAATGGTTCAGCATCCCAGATACAGGAAAGGGCCAGATGCTTGCTTTGACGACGCTAAAGTAAGTCTTCTCTTCATTTAGATGTAAGATCTTTCTTTTTTTTCCTATTTCTCCGTTCCTGAGAATAGTTTCCATCTTTAATTGACTTCACTCTCTCTCTCTCTCTCTCATTACACATACTGCTCCCGTTCCAGATCAGAGCCCTTCTAATGCAAATGTTCTCACAATTAACCTTAAAACTGACGACGGCTGCTTTTTTCTGAGCTGCCTTGCCTTTCAGCGATGGTGCTTTCACTCACAATTCCTATCTTTTTTTAAAATAAAAAAAATAAAATGAAAAATATAAGACAGTCTGTGCTGGATTTCTCTACACAGCCATGGCAATCTTCCACGGTGTCTTTGACAACCTTGAAAACTGACCTTTTCGATATTGTGGGTTGTTGTTGTATTTTTCCGCTCCTTTCTGACTCACTTTCTGCCTAATGCATTTTTCCCCCATTCCAAATATCTCTTTATTTGTGGGCTCATTGTGAATCTGAAGGATATTCTGTGCCTCTTTGTTTCGAAGAGGATCCCTTGTAAAAGGATGGTACGTGATCCTGATGATGCAGATATACTGTGTTTCCCCGAAAATAAAACCCTGTCTTATATATTTATATATATTTTGTAGGGCTTTTATTGGGCAGACATGCAAAAATCAAGCTAGGGCTTACTTTCTGAGTAGGTTGTATTTTCAGGGAAACAAAGTAATTACCCGTGTTTCCCCGAAAATAAGACCCTGTCTTATATATATATATTTGTAGTGCTTATATTGGGCAGACATGTAAAAATCAAGCTAGGGCTTACTTTCTGAGTAGGTTGTATTTTCGGGGAAACAAAGTATTTACCCGTGTTTCCCCGAAAATAAGACCCTGTCTTATATATATATTTTTTTGTAGTGCTTATATTGGGCAGACATGTAAAAATCAAGCTAGGGCTTACGTTCTGAGTAGGTTGTATTTTTGGGGAAACAAATAATTACCCGTGTTTCCCCAAAAATAAGACCCTGTCTTATATTTTTTGAACCCCAAAATAAGTGCTTGGCCTTATTTTCGGGGAGGTCTTATTATTTTGGGGCGCCTGGAGCAAGACGGGGCTCCTCTTGCCATCTTACCTGATTTCCAGCTCTGTCTCCCTAACCCTAACCAGAGGAAATGGTGGGGACCGACTGTGCATGCGTTTAAATATTTTCGGGGAGGGCTTATTTTCAGGGGGGCTTATTTTAGCGCATGTACTCAAAAGCCCAATTGGGCTTATTATCAGGGGAGGTCTTATTTTCGGGGAAACAGGGTGCTTAATTTTGCTCACGTTATGAAGTGCCCACGGTATTTTTTAAAATAAAAATTGGCGTCCTGACAATTGCTGGAATCCAGCAAAGCAATTTCGGGACAAATATTTAACTTTGACAGAAAAAGTTAGATCCAAGCTAGATAGCTAACAACAAAAGGGACTATACATACACAAATATGTGTGTGTGTGTGTTAAAACATCGCATACCAGAACACAAAGATTATCTTGACTTTCCTGAGTTCAACAGGGGAGTCCTCCATAGAGTATATCAGGGGTGAAATTCAGCAGGTTCTGACAGGTTCTGGTGAACAGGTAGTGGAAATTTTGAGTAGTTCAGAGAACTGGCAAATACCACCTCTGGCTGGTCCCAGAGTGGGAGGGAATGGAGATTTTGCAATATCCTTCCCCTGGAGTTGGGTGGGAATGGAGATTTTGCAATATCCTTCCCCTGCCACACGCACCAAGCCACGCCCACAGAGCCGGTAGGGAAAAAAATTGGATTTCACCCCTGGAATATATATGTGTGTGTTAAAATACCACATATTGTAACACAAAGATTATCTTCACTGTCCTCTGTTCAACAAGGGATTCCTCTGTAGAAATTCAGATCAGTATTTATACAGAGCATGACATTCATGAGAACTCATGATTTAAATAATTTTTTTAAGCAATTTTTTCTTTCTTTAAAAAAAATGGCACACACCGTACTTGTGAAGTCAAAGTTCTCTATCTTCATTTGGGATTCAATATTTGCTTCAAAATGCAACGAAGTCTCCATCTTCAACACTTTCTGCCCAACCAGAAGACCGCCAAGGTCCCTTCAGTCCTAGAAGTCTATGATCCTATGATTCCAGGAGAGTTTTCCCCCCAAGCCAAAAATTTTACAGTCCAAGATCCGCGTCATACATTCAGTTTAGGTCGCAACAAACACGTATGTGTGAGAACACCAGAGACAGGTGTTCGAGCCGTGAAAATGTTGACACACGAGAACTTCCTGGGAACAAAGGTGAAGGACTCGCCGAAACATTTGATGTTCTCCATGATCGACAAAACTGGATATTTGTGTGTGAACGTACAAAGGACTCTTGCTTATTTAGCTTGATGTGCTCTTCTCTATGTTAGTGACGTAACAGTAGCGTTTTGATATCTTGGGTTAAGTTTCCTTTCCAGTTTTTCTCTGTAAGATCTTTTGCTTTTTTTTTTTTTTTTTTTGCTTTTCACATTATCTCTTCTATCGGCCAGCCAACTTTGCATGAAATTTCATCTTCTGTGTGTTTCTTTCTGTGTTTCCTTTCCTTTTCCTCTGTTTGCGACTTTGCCCCGTTACTAATAGGATCAGCCTCTATGCACGAGGAGCTTCGCCACTGCCATGACGCCCACCTCTGTCTTCATTTTTCTGCAAGTTTTCATGTGGTGTGGATGGTCAGTTCCTTTCTCTAATTTTGTGTTTTGTTTCATTTCCCTCGACCCAAAGTTGTTGTTGTTGTTGTTGTTGTTTTTTGCAAGGACACAAAGGGAACTAAGAATGCATATAACCGATGACATTATGAAAGGGAGGGCTGATGGATGTTAGGCTTCTTCAGAACTTGGTTTCTCTCAGAAAGGGGTTAGGAGCTGGTTAAGATCCTTTCCTTTCCTTCCCTTCCCTTCCCCTTCCCTTCCTACATTTTCCTTTCCTTTCCTCTCATCCCTTCCTTTTTTGTTCTTCACTTCCTTCCGTTCCCTTCCTACATTTTCCTTTCCTTTCCTCTCTTCTCCTCTCATCCCATCCCTTCCTTTTTTGTTCTTCCCTTCTCTTCCCTTCCCTTCCCTTTGCTTCTCCTTCCTACATTTTCCTTTTCTCTGCTCTCCTCTCCTCTATTCTCCTCTCATCCCTTCCCTTCCCTTCCTTTTCTGTTTTTCACTTCCTTTCCTTTCCTTTCCTTCCTACATATTCCTTCCCTTCCTTCCCCTTCCCCTTCCCTTCCTTTCCTTTCCATTCCCCTTTCCCCTTCCCTTCTCTTCCCTTCCCTTCCTCTCCTCTTCCTTCTTCCTTCCGCCTCCCTCCCTTATCAGTGTCCTCTCTTCCTTTCCTTTCCTTTCCTTTCCTTTCCTTTCCTTTCCTTTCTTTCCCTTCCCTTTCCTTCCCCTTCCCTTCCTACATTTTCCTTTCCTCCCCTCCCCTCCCCTCTCCTCCCCTCCCTTTTCTTTCCTTCACTTCCTTCCCTTCCATCTCTCCTTCTTCCTTCCTTCTTTTCTGAAACAATCTTTGGTTACTTCATATTTTTTTGGGGGGGGTCATCAATTCACTTGTTCTTCCAACGTTCAGTCCTTCCACTTTCTCTCTCTCTCTCCCTCTCCCTCTCCCTCTCCCTCTCCCTCTCCCTCTCCCTCTCCCTCTCCCTCTCCCTCTCTCTCTCTCTCTCTCTCTCTCTCTGTCTATTGGGATCACCAAACTAGAATTTCTATTTTCATTTCATTGTTTTTGCAGATCTTTAATTTTGACATGGAAGGGATGGACCACAATTCAAGGAAGGGACATAGACTTTACACAGTTATCATTCCTAATCCAGTTTTTAGTCATTTTCTGAAGAACAAAAATCTCCTGGCCTAACTGTGGACTTCTGGTTGTCAATTAAGAAAGCATTTGACAAGATAGAACTTCTGATCTGGCTCCCCTTCTCATTCCTATTATGCATCCATATGCTATAGTCCCTGAATTTATGCAGACAATATGGGTATGTGGATCAGCCAAGATCTAATTTAAGGATTCGAGTCAATTTAATTAGAATTTGCATTTCGATTCAAAGAATTGTGTCGAGTCAGTTTGAATTTGTGGTTTGAACATCACTCTAAAGGATGATTTCAGTGAACGGTTCTTCAGTCAAAACTTTGCACAGCTCAAATCGGCAATATTCGTAGACAATGGGTGAGTTTGTAGAGAGCTAATACTGTGGAATATAAAATCCCCCATAAAACCATAACAGCAACAAATCAGCAATCTAAAAGAACATGATCAGTCTGAAAATAACTTGGCTCGCTTAATATTCACAAAAACAATAGCTGTATGGTTTTTAGAAGTGCTGTCTGCTAATACTATACAAACATTGGAATCAGTGGCATTTCTTGAATAAATTTAATTTAATTTAATTAATTCAATTTATATGCCTCCCCTCTCCAAAGACTCAGGGCATCTGAGGAAAGTAAAACATAAGAGTAAAGTAAAACATAAGAGAACAAACATAAGAGATAAGAGCCTTGGTAGCACAGTGGTTTAAAGCACCCTGTTATTAATACAGCTGCCTACAATTACTGCAGGTTCGAATCTTACCGGGCTCAAGGTTGACTCAGCCTTCCATCCTTTCTAAGGTAGGTTAAATGAGGACCCAGATTGTGGGGGCAATAAGATGACTTTGTATAAATATACAAAAGTATGAAGGCTATTGCTTAACGCATTGTAAGCCACCCTGAGTCTCCGGAGAAGGGCAGCATATAAATCAAATTAAAAAAAAATACACAATGTGCAGATGAATACAAGGAGGTGATTTTCTCGTATCACTTCGATGCAGATAGATTCTCAAAGGTGAGAGACTAAGTTTGTCTTTCGTGACTTGCAGATTCAAAGGATTAATCTGTAGGGGTGGCTGGTGGGGAATGTTGATGGAAAACCTGAATTTTGAAATATTTACCACCGTTTAAGATTGTTGAAAGCACAACAGGACTGCTCAATGTTGAAAACAGCCATGTACACCCGCAGAGAAACTGGTCATACAAAAGGTCATGAATTGCGCAGAAATGGACAAATTAACGCTGAGTTTAAAAGATAAAGAGGCATCGATATTTTACAATGTGTGGGAACAGTGGTACAACTGGATAGAATGGAGGTAGATTGAAGATAGATCGTTATTACGTATAAGTAATAGATAAAATAAGAATGTAAATACGCACAATTTAATTTTTGTAAATAATGCACGAATTATCGTCACACGAAAAACACCACAATTAGCTGTTGTTGAGTGAATAATTTTTTTATGTTTTTAATGTAATAAAACTTTAATAAAGTGTTTAAGGAAAAAAAAAGAAAGCACAACAGGACCGTTTCTCTTTTCAGAGGTGTCGTTCTGTAAAGTCATAAACGCACATCAAGATAGAATAGAATGAAATAAATAATTATTTCTTGCAATTTAAGTGTGAAGTATACCTGATGTATACTTGAAGTATATGCAGAAACCCCTTGATGACGTCGGGGCAGCTGGGCGGAGCCTCCCACCAGTTTTACTACCGGTTCTATAGAACCGGACAGAACCGGGAGCAACGCAGCACAGGACAGGACAGGACAGGACAGGACAGGACAGGACAGGATAGGATAGGATAGGATAGGATAGGATAGGATAGGATAGGATAGTTGCCAAGCATCTGAATTTTGATCACATGATCATGGGGATGCTGGGAAGGTCGTAAGAGTGAAAAACGGTCATAAGTCGCATTTTTCAGTGCTGTCGTTACTTTGAATGGTCACTAAACAAACTGTCGTAAGTCAAAGATTGCCCGTAATGAAATTTTCACTTTCCGGCAGTTCTGGAGAATCATATCATTGACCAGGACATTTATAGAAGGTATCTCTCCATATTGTCTTACAATATCACTAGAGGAAGTCATCTGTCTCTAAGAACTTCTAATAAAGTTAGAAGCATGCCTATATTAAGGAAAAAATGCATTTAATTATCCTCAGATATATTTTAGATATCTGATATTCATTTGTAATGACATCATGTTCCTCTAAGCCATTTCTGGCATTGGTTTATCTTCATAGAACATAAATATGTTGACTTATAGCTAGCTGGCTTTAGTTACTTTGCATGTATTCCAAGTGAGTATTCCACAATCAAGAGGAATATCTTCCTTCAGAATTGATCTGGTTTTGTTTTTTCAATTTTTCCCCCCTGTTCATTTGTATGCTGGCTGAACATAACCATTTTTGGGGTTTTTCCCCCGTTCATTTGGATGCTGGCTGAACGTAACCATTTCACCTCGCTTATTATACTTAGTCGATAAATACTCCCTGTGCTTCACATCCCATTACACTATGTGAAATAGTTGATTAGAAGAAGACAAAAATATCTGGATAGTGGATGGGGCAGTACCTGGAGACAGTGTTGTGATCTAGGAATGGCTTCCGGAGTCATTAAAACACACAAGTAGTCCCAAAAACATATTTATTGCAACAGCTGGGAATTCTGTTCATTCACAGCTGAGTCCCAATTAGTCCTTCGGGATAATCACCCACCTTTATCTCCTTTGACATGCTGCTAAAGGCCTTACTTGGCAAAGTCACATGGGGTCCAGAATCAAACAAAGATGCCGACTGGGAACAGAGTTAACAACGTTGCTTTCCTGCAAAGGTCTCACGTTTCTATGCTCCTCTTTTAAGCCTTATGAAAAGGGGCCAATCATCTCCAGGCCTTACTCCTTAGTTGTCCCTTTTGTTTTAAATGTTCTTGCCTTCTGGCAGCTCTGCACATGTGTGCACTAGGAACAGGCTCCTCCTGTTCCTCTGCCTCTCTCCTGTCAGCCTCTGGAGGCTCTGGAGTCCACGCATGACTCCCAGATGGCCCTGGCCCCATCTCTGCCTCTGACACAGAGCCCTGATCTGGGCCCTCCCCAGACTCCAGGACTGGCCCCTGTTCCTCCCCAGCCTCCTCACTGTCCAACTCCGCTACCAATTCTGCAGGCTGCTGGCGGACCACAACAGACAGCAAAAGAGAAGAGAAAGAACTGGGGGAAAAAAACCCCACAGAATACAAAGAACACAAAGTGAATACAAATAGACCAACCATGGCAAAAGAGAGTAAAGATAACCCCACTATCCATGTTTCTCTGAAAATATGATTAATGGCTCATTGAGTATTCTAAAAAAATACCTCATTTCCAAACTTCTGAATGCTTAAAGGATTTTATTCGGAGCTTTCTGAAAATAAATCTCTCTTTAGCTCCCTTTTCTCTGAGTCATTTATATTACGTTTCAAGGCACTGTTCTACATGCGACATGAATACCAATAAGGTGACTTTATGCATGCTATTTATTTGTAAAAACCGACACGACATTTTTCCAATATAGACAAAGAGCATGCGGTGGTTAGACAATTACTCACTCTGTGTGTGTGTTTGTGGGTGTGAGCAATTCCTTATTCCTTTTGCGTGACAAAACCCTTGCCTTTCCTTGCCTATCATATCAACACTTCTGCATCTAATTTACAGAAAGGGTGTTCTTGAAAAAAATCAAAACAGTTAAGATGACAGCCACAATATTGTGTTGTCAACACCACCTGTTTAGGATAGGATAGGATAGGATAGGGTAGGGTAGGGTAGGGTAGGGTAGGGTAGGGTAGAGTAGAGTAGAGTAGAGTAGAGTAGAGTAGAGTAGAGTAGAGTAGAGTAGAGTAGAGTAGAATAGAATAGAATAGAGTAAAGTCTTTATTGGCCAAGTGTGATTGGACACAGAAGGAATTTGTCTTCGGTGCATAATCTCTCAGTGTACATAAAAGATATAAGTGATAAATCATGATCATAGCCATCGTAAATACATTCATCATGAATCATAAGATACATCACTTAGTGATAGTCATTGGATACTAAATGAGCAATCAACATAAGTCATACTAGGAGACTAAATAAACAATATAAATCGTAAAGATGCAAGCAACAAAGTTATAGTCATGAGTAGAAAAGGAGATAGGTAATAGGAAGGATGAGAAGAATAATAGTAATACAGACTTAGTAAATAGTTTGACAGTGTTGAGGGAATTATTTGTTTAGCAGAGTGATGGCGTTCGGGAAAAAAACTGTTCTTGTGTCTAGTTGTTCTGGTGTTCAGTGCTCTATAGCGTCGTTTTGAGGGTAGGAGTTGAAACAGTTGATGTCCAGGATGCGAGGGGTCTGTAGATATTTTCACAGCCCTCTTTTTGACTCGTGCAGTATACAGGTCCTCCATGGAAGGCAGGTTGGTAGTAATTATTTTTTCTGCAGTTCTAACTATCCTCTGAAGTCTGTGTCTGTCTTGTTGGGTTGCTGTGCCAAACCAGATAGCTGAGCATTACACATACACACTGCACGCACATTGAAAGGGAGTGGGGTTGTCATCACACCTTTGCAGCTGCCATTTTGAATTTTGTTTTTGAATCGTCCCCAGATTCCGTAGCTAATGAAAAGTAACTTCCTTTCTTATGTTAGCTTACAAAGTTGGACACCTACTTTCCTTCTGTATTATTTAAGGCTGATAACCAAAACGAATAATAACCAAGTAATTTTGGCCAATAATCAAAATTAGTAATTTCAGTTTAGGAGGCTGCTAAAATACTTTGTGACCGAGTTATTTTAAAATGAGACCAAGTTATTTTAATACAAGGAAGAAAAAGACTAATCTCCTCCCTCTTTTAATATGTAAATTTTAATCTGTTTTTAAATTATTGGGGTGTTTTAATCTGTCCGGGCCAAAATGATTTAATTTGATTTTATCTGGTTTTTAAATTTTGTGTATTTATGTATTTTATTGCTTGGCTGTTCACCGCCCTGAGTCCTTCGGGAGTAGGGCGGTATACAAATCAAATAAACTAAACTAAACTAAACTAACTTCCCGCTCACACATAACCATATCTGAGGTCGCATTTTAATCAGCGCAGACTTGTGATAATAACTTTTATATTATATCGCGTCTGAAAGAACTGTATTGTTGTTTCCCTTGTGTGCAAATAGAAGCAGGAACCTATTATTTGTGGTCTCACCCAAAGTTTCAGGTATCTGTGGTTGATAAATAGGAATTTCATCCATTTTATAAGAGGAAAATAGAGGGTGCATATATCAGAAAAACAGAATAGCCATAGGATGCACAACTTGACTCCCCAATTTCCATAACCTCAAGTTCTTATTTTTCATAATTTCACAATCTGTTATTTTGCACTTCAATGAAACTCCAAAGAATAACAAGAGCTATCTATATATAAATATATTGCTGGTCGTCATATTATTATAAGGCTGTCACTTGAAAAAGGTTGAAATATTCATTTTTTTAAAAAATTGAGGCCAAGAACGGATAGATTTAACGGGCTACAACATGGCTGGCTGAAAAATTCTGGGAGTTGAAGTCCACAAGTCTTAAAGTTGCCAAGTTTGGAAGCCTCTGGGCTACAGTATTTAATGGGGCTGCCCTAGAGGTCTATCAAGAAAATTCAACTGGTTTAGGGTACAATAGTTTACAGCCGCAATAATGGGCAAATTTCGTTGTGCCAATATACTGCGTTATTGATTTACGACCACAAATAGAAAGGGTACTTCTATCACTAAGCCAGGCAGTCATTAAGTGAATTGTGCCTGATTTTATGACCATGTTTGCCATAATTATTAAGTGAATCACCCAGTCTAAGTGAATTGTGCGATTCAATGAATTTGATTTTTACAATTGCTTATTCAACGAAAGCAAACAGTACGAATTAAACCGGGGTGATTTTTAGTGGAAATCCTAAATTGTTACAAAACATCTTTGTTTGTTGATGATGCTTATGTAACTGTGATAATTCATAATCGCCAAGTAAGGGAGCAGACTTCAGCCTATGTGAAAAGGATTTTGGTCGCTCAACAGTGAGACGCTGATGAAACGGGCACAGGATTGTTGTATTTTCTGTGTCGCATGAGAAAAGTCCTTTCCACTTTCTATAGAGGGATGATCAAGAGCATCCTGTCATATTGCATTACTGTCTGGTTTGGAAGCATTCCTGCTTCCGGCAGGAAGGTGGTGCAGAGAGTGGTGAGGACAGCAGAAAAGATCATTGGCAATTCACTCCCTTCTATCCAGGGCATTGAAATGGTTAGATAGGGTCATTGACACAATGAACATGAGTTTGGACAACGTAAAGAGACAGTGGAGGATGGGGGGGTGGGTGGGATCTGGCACGCTATGGTCCATAATAATGTCATTAGAAACTGGATGGAGACTTTCTGGTATGACAGGCGAATTTGGGAAGTCACCACTAAAGGAGTACATCAGGTAAGAAAGTTCTGCATTGGGTAACTTGCTCCTCTAACATCAGGAATTCTAGGGAATTTAGGGACTGTTCAGAAGCCTGATGGGTACATGGGCCCACTGGGCGAGACTAAATTGCACAAAAGGGTTCCCAGTGAGAAGATTATTGCATAAAGAAGTCAACATCTGCCTAGTGATGTTTCAGCTAATTCAAATGAATCTCTTTCTCTCTCTCTCTCTCACCTACAGGATGATTCAGCCGAGTGTGGTGGAGTCTCTGGATTGAGTCCATCACTCTGGTCTATGGTAGGAATCCAGTTTATCCTGCTCTGGATGTTATCTGGCATCAGACTCTGCCAGTTATGACCGTGAGACACCCCAAACTTAATCTAAACCAACCGAGATCCTGCCAAAACGTTAGCCCACCATTTTCATTCAAGGAAAAAAAGGGGGGCCCATCTGCTCCGGCTGCAGATTCAATGGCGACGCCAGTGACTCGAAAAAAAAAAAATCTTCTCGGGGGGAAAGGCGCTCGAAGGCACCCACCGTGGCTGCATGTTGGTGTGTCAGATCTGTTAACACGTGTGTGTGAATGCTTCATCATCCAGGCCATTCAGAACCGAATTCTGTATGCGCTTTTACTGTGGAGTTTCAGGGTTGGGGGTAAAGTCTTCTTTTGTGTGTGTGCTTTTGAAGACTCCGTGTTGAAAAAAAAAGGGCTCCCCTTTAAAAGATCACCCCGTTTTCTGTTTGTTTGTTCGAACTCGGTTTTGAGTGGGTTGCACTCCTTAAACATTGGAATGCCCGATTTGTAAAGGAAAGGGGAAAAAAATACAACAACAACATTTGCCATTTCCTTCGCCTTCTGGTTTAGAATACCGATTATTTATATGCCTGCTTTCAACTTTCTTTGAATACAAACTCAACTTCATTTCACACCGGTTCGCCGGTGTCGAATCAACCATAAACCAATGCTGTGATTTAGAAACACAGAGACTTCGTCACGACTTCTCTTCCTCCTTCCATAACCATCGCTCCCACTGCCAACTTCAAGCCCATCAATGCAACGGCGTTAGCACACCTGAAAATGTTTCCGAACCCCAGGAATTTAAAATATTCGGGGGGGTTGTTGTAGGGGAAAATTAAAATGATGGTCGGAAGGTGGCAACCGGTTTTAAAATAAAAAAGGACTTTTTTAAAAAAAATGGAAAAGAGGAAAGCTAAAACGTTTTTATTTAGGAAGCAGTGGTGGGCTCGATATCAAAGATCTGGAGAACCTCAAGCATTGAATTGGACACCACGAAGACTTTTCACCACGATGTAAAATGCCTTATAAACAGATCATCTTTGTTTTCCGAAAACGAATCAGCTTCCATAACTTCATGAACTGGATGCAAAGTTCTGAAAAAAAGGCGAGCTCGAAGCAACCAACGTCAAAATGGAGTAGGTTTTTTTGTTTTTTAAAGGAAAACTTCCCTCTTCATCCCACAATCCGTCCTTCGTTGTGCAAGCTGTTAATAATGTCTGTATGGAACATCCCTGTTTCTTAGAGCACTGTCTTTCTGGTTTCTAAGTCCTCCAAAGTTTTCAAGACGCAACGTTTGTGAATACAAATGTCTTTTGTGAATATATTGAACGTTGGTTTCCAAGGGTAATTTTTTGCATGATGACGAAGCTGCTATTTCGTTCAAGATTTCGTTTTGTTTTTCCTAGGTTCCCCCCCCCCTTTTTTTTTTTGACAGTAGAGTGTAGTTTATTGAACAGGTCTTTGAGTGATTTTTTTTTTCTTTTCCTGTTGTGTGAGAAACCAAATATTGCGGTGTGATGCAATTCAATCTTAAGTTATATATTGTTAAACAGATATCTGAATCGACTGTGCAATGTAAAAGCTGAAAAGCGGAGGAGGGTACATTTAATTACCTTCTCAAATGGGGGGGGGGAAATGGGTTTTACAAATGAAAACATTCACCTGAATTACTATTTACAGGTCCAACTGAAATCAGATTGACAGGCATTTATTTCAGGGTTTAAAATAATAATAATAATAATAATAACTGCTTGTTTCCAGCAAAATTATCCCCAATTATTATGCAGTGTCTTACCTTCTGCTTTACATCACAAATAGCAAAATGGGGAGAAAAAAATTGAATGAAAAAAATTGGAAAACCCAAACGAATCCCTATAACATAGAGTGACCCTTGGGTTTGAAATAAAAATACTGATTTAGCCTGAACTCAACCATCAGTCCAGTGAGTAAATGAATTAGCTTGGAGTACAGAATGTTGTAGACAGAGAAGAGAATATTTTCATCAAGGACTTTTAAAACTAACCAATGAATGTGTGGCTTTCTTGATATCGCGGAATTCTTCTAAAAACCGCAATTCTTTGTAACGAGAACCCCCATAAAATATCATTGCACTGGCAAGTGACTTCCATCTGATGTTGAACCCAAAGATTTTTGAGGAATTTCTGAGAATGTATTCGTCATAGACGAATGGCAGGTCTTTAATTTTTTTCCCCCTCCTTTGTCCGCTTCCATTTATTTTCTGATTTTAGCTGAGCACGCTAGTGAATTTTCTTCATTTCCTCATTTTCACTTTAGCGGATCTAAAACAATTCACTGCGGCCAACTTGGCATGGCGAACTCACCGCGGGATAAGAGTTACATTAATATCGAAGAAAGGGTGGAACAGACGCATTAAAGAAAAGATGCAAAAATGGGAATGACAAAAATTAAAATCATCTTTTAATTATGTTGAATACTTAAACTGAATTGTTGAATTGTCCGATGCGGCGAGTTGGCTGTGGCGAGTTATCCCATTCCTCACTTCAGCTTCTTCTAACTTTGTTATTAAAGTTAGAATTAAAGTTACGAGTTAAAGTTATGAGCCGTGGCGGCTCAGTGGTGAGAGTGCAGTACTGCAGGCTATTTCTGCTAACTGGCCGAGATGGCAGTTCAAATCTCACTAGGCTCAAGGTTGACTCAGCCTTCCATCCTTCTGAGGTCGGTAAAATGAGGACTCAGATTGTTGGGGGCAAGAGGCTGACTCTGTAAACCACTTAGAGAGAGCTGGAAAAGAATTGTGAAGCTGTATATATTGCTGTTAAGTTCAAGAGATGATTAAAGAAGGAATGATGAAGCGAGGTCTCCTAATTTTTCTACTTTTTAAAAAGGGAGTTTTTGCAGGTCTCCCAATCCCAAAGAAATACTCTTAATAGAGTGGAATGAATATAATTCGGATTGCAACTTGATTCTTTTCTAGAGAACTTAGAATGGGCTAGCAAGAATCTGAATGACGATTAATGGTAACCAAACGACACAGAAAACTTTAAATCTTTTGTGTGTCTAGTGGTTACGTGGATATTTGGCAGTCCAGGTGTGGTAGCTCTACAGTTCACGGCTGACAGGCATTTCATACCTTAGTCCAGGAGTCCCCAACCTGTTTGGTTCTGTGGACTGTTGGCGATAACTTCAGCAGAGGGGGGGAATGGGTTCTAGCACATAACATAAATCCTACACATGTGCAAATGAACCTTCGCACACTTGTGTGCCACTTTGGTGGACCGGTTCCCAATGGGCCACGGCCCAGCAGTTGGGGACTTCTGTCTTAGTGAACATCATGCTTGCCAAAAATTAATCAGAAATGTGCTATATTTCATTGCTTCTATCCTCATTGTCTCACCGCTTCTGTTCTCACTGAAGATAATTCAGCTTGTTTAGCATTAAGGGAGTCAAATCCAGCTTGCTTCTGTTAAAGAGCAGATTGGTTATTTTTATTTATTTATTGGGTTTATGTATTTGTGGTCTCACCCCGCGAGACCACAGTTTATTTATTGAATTGATATAGCTGCTCGTCTCGCGTGTATCTGTCTCAGGGCAGCGCACACGATGAGAAATAAACAGCTGATCGGGAACGGGAGGGCAATTCCTTAAAAATCGGCACTGCAGATCAAGTCACTTGCTTCATTTTTTGCTTAACAATAGAGTTTGCCTTAATCGAAATATTGGTCCTCATCCTTAATTTGCAGAATTTTTTTTTAAAGAATCGCTTTCTCTGAGCAACATCGCCAAGGAGACTTTCCACCAATTCCATCTGTATTTGGGTAGCTTGTAGCCTCTTCGGATGATTACTTTTTGTCAAAACGTCTTTTCAGGTACTGCTACTAACTACTTCCTGTAAATAATGCTTACAGTTACAATATCTACATCTATTATTATTAATTATTATTTTTTTTAAAAAAATGCCTTAATTAATTCCTAGTCTTTGCAAAGGATAATTTCATGGTAGGTTTCTCCTCTTTCTCTCCAAAGATGGAAAGAATACAGCTTAATTCTCCTTATGGGAACAGGAAGTTGAGTGTTTCAAAGTCAATTCATAAATAAAGGCGTAGCATATGCATTAACCAGGAATGGTGCGGTGGCCTAGAGGTGGAGCTCTCGCCTCACAATCAGGAGGCTGTGAGTTCAATCCTAGGTGGAGGCAGATATTTCTCTCTCCGGGCACAATGAGAATATATCTGCTGAACAAAAACTCCTCATTGGAGACAGGAAGGGCATCTGGCCAGTAAACAGTCAGCTCCGTTCAGTTGCCCAGACTCTCAGATTTATGGGGTCATTAAAAAGAGATTATATGTATTAACCAGGAAGCAAGAAGCTTCTACTTAAAGTGGTAAGTCACTATGCTGGAAGAAGCCACAAATATAGGCATAGCTGGAAGATGCAGTGAGGTTCATGTAATATAGGGGGAAGTAGACTTAAAGAGTTTTTTGTCTTCTTTGCTGTTACCTAGTGATCAGATGGAATTCGGCAGCCCAGATCTGGCAGCTTTGCAGACTGAGTTCTGTACAGCTGTTAGAAAAACATCAGGATTTCTTACCACGTGAGCAGTTCCTGATCAGCGTGTTCCAAGATGACATCGCTAAAACCATATCAACTTGAATGCATGGATCAAATTCTATAGGAGAGTTGCAGAAAATCCTTGCCTGAGTAGCTGAGTAGCATATTATCCATGCGTGTGAGCACAGATCCTCATTCTGGCTCATATTGCAACCAAATGAAAACATACAGTAGTGGCCAAAATTGTGGAAACCTTTTTGGGAAAAGTGTATTTTTGAGGTTTGATGGCTAATAACACCACTTTTTTGGGGGGAGTCTCAAGATAATCCTATTCCACTGCTGGAATGGCCTGGGAATAGCCCAGACCTTCACCCAATAGAAAATCCATGGAGCTGACTAAATAAACTTGTTAGTCAGAAGCAATAAAACCCAGTTAATAGAAGCCATCATTCAATCTTGGTTTCACATTATAACTGCTACAAAACTAAAAGACTTGGTTCACTCCATGGGAAGACGTTGTAAGGCCGTAATTTAGTCTGTTGAGCCTGGATAGCTCAACAGACTAAAAGCCTGTTATTAACATTCAGCTGTCTGCAATTATTGCATGTTCGAATCTTCCCAGGCTCAAGGTTGACTCAGCCTTCCATCCTTTCTAAGGTAGGTAAATTGAGGACCCAGTTTGTGGGGGCAATAAGCTGACTTTGTATAAAATATACAAAAGGATGAAGGCTATTGCTTAACGCATTGTAAGCCACCCTGAGTCTCCGGAGAAGGGCGGCATATAAATCTAATTTTTTAAAAAAAATCATGCTAAAGATTACCCAACTAAGCATTAACTGACATGGTGATCATTTTTCTATATCTCGTTTTTTCCTATGGTGATCATTTTTGTAGATCTCATTTTTTTTCTACCTGTCTCACTTTTCTTTATACAATAACTGCTATTCTAATAGCAAATCCTTCCTAAAAGTTACTGCATTACATTCTTGATTAAATTATCTTTCCACTGATATATAATTTTATGGTATTACTCCCCCCCAAAAAAGTGGTGTTATTAGCTAATTTTAGAAAATACACTTTTCCCAAAAGGTTTCCATAATTTTGGCCACTACCGTAGCATCAGGAAACAAGAAGCTTTTACTTAAAGTGGTAGGACATCCATGCTGAAGGAAACTTTAGCCTAGCACTTAGAAACCTGGACTTGAAGCTTTTTCTCCTGGGATATGTCATATTTGGCTGGAGGAAGAAGTAATTTGAACAACGTTGGCAGAAGAGAGACTCCAGTATAAAGCCTGAACAAAGTTTTTAAGTGTTTTATGAATTCCCTTTCTATTGCTCTAAAGTCATCCCCTTTTTCTACTTGGCCAGAAATCTGGTGGAAGTTTTCCTTAAGACTTGGCATACAATGAGCAACCCTACCTCATTCGTTAAGGATTCCCAATGTTGGAAGTCTCCAAATTATTTAGACCTTGCCACTTATTATTATTTTTTTGGGTTGGGCAAAAAGAAAAGAAGAACGGGATTTCACTTTAAAAAAAAAAAATGTTGGCTTTCCCGTAGGAGTGAATTAACCTCTGCAGAATCCAGGTTTTGACCCTAAATTAGAAGCTAATTTTGGAGAAGTGTCTCTGGTCCTAGAAGTTCAGTTTCCCATGGCTTTAGACCTTTTTCTTGGCATATTTAGAAAGCATCTATTTTTTGGCCATTTATGACATCAGAGCTCTAATGTCAGAGAGAGAGAGAGAGAGAGAGAGAGAGAAGGTTTCTCTGGGGGCTGAGAGGAAAGATCTGTGGTTGGATATCCCCCCTGCAAGATTGGAGTCCTTTTTCAGAGTTTTCCACCCCTGTGACCCCCAAAATTATCTCCCAAACATTGTAGGATTGCAGGATAATGGGGTGTTGGCTCTCATCCTTTAGAATTCCCCCTCTGTTTGACCCTCGTTCTTCGTATTTAAAAGCAGTGGTGGGATCCTGCCAGTTTAACAATTGGTTCGATGATTGTGTACTTCACTCTGTGTGCGTGCAGTTTTATGAAAACTTACCTTCTGCGTTACTGCTGGGGAGTAACACAGCTGAGGCACGGCGATCCGTTCTGACGCGTGAATCAGCTGAAAAGATATAGGTCAGTAAAGCGCAGGGACGGGTGGACCAACCTGATAGTCAGAGCAAACCGGTTGGTTCCCAGCTGATCGTCGGAGCTACCGGTTCGCCCCGAACCGGTAGAATCCCATCCTTGTTTAAGAGTGGGGAAAAAAAGCAAAATTATCTCTTTCACCGGAGTGTTCTACAGTTGACTGATTCTACCTGTCTTCAAAATATCGATACCTATTTGAATTGCGTTGGTTTTGAGGTTAGGTTTCATGCTTTGTGTTGCTGACCATAACTGCTTAAGTCGCTTGCGTGGTGATAGAAGCAGAAATAAGGGCATTTCGAGATGAATTTTTTAAAAGAAAGGATGAGCAATTCCAGAAAGAGCTGAGTGTCCATTGGACACATCAACAATTCCTGGTTGCCCTCAAAAGAGATTCAGAAGTGTTCAAAAAAACATTTTTTTTAAATAACCCAAAAGCATTTTGGATACAAAATGGAGTGTTTTGAATTCAAATTGCTGGAGGTTTTCAACAATAAGTTTGGACAACTGTTTGATTGGGGTGACATAAAGTTTCCAGTCTTGAGCCGGAAGTTGGACTAGAAGACCTCCAAGGTTCCTTCCAGGCCTTGGAATCTACGTTCTATGTTCTTCTTCTATTCCAAATGCCTTACACATTATTCATATACAGTTAGCCTCCTGCCCCCAAAAATACGTAATGCCAAATTTTTCAACTCTGCTTTGTTTCACTGAGGTTTTCCCTGTGTCAAGTTTGATTTAGGGTTACATCTAAAAGTGCGCAGAACTAACACGGAAAAATCAGACATTTCTTTGCAAAGTCTGATGTTCTCTTTCCTGAAAGAAATATCTGTTTTTCTGAATGTCAATCAAACGATAAACGTTTTCCTAAAAGTCTTCTCCAAATTTCTGGCTTAGTTACTAGAAGGTCACTGATGTGCCTTTAATAGACATCTGATATTTTCTACATTTGATACATTGAAGTAAAAGTGAGCAAGAAAAAGATATCAAAAAAGAGAATCCGATTAGTTGAGTAACTTTCTGATAGTCCATATTTAACCAGGTTCCCTCTCCTGGTTCAATCCCGCTTTCCTAGAAGTCACAATCTTATCACAACTATTAGCAAAAGTTCCAAGGTGTAACCAGTACAATTCAGTGGCTGCTATCTACAGATTTTGACCTTGAACATGATCTCTGGTGATTCACAGAAGCAGGAGATTTTGACCTACTGAAGGAAGCACATTTCTGATTTTTTCAGGAGCAGGAGATTGACGAATATTGTGATTTGCTATAGCTCCTGCACCTGATGTAAGACGTGCATCTTCTGGACTGGTTAAGGGATCTTGAAGAACAGTTATGGGATCTTGAAGATCTCCTGCTGTGGGAGCCAACCACCCCTTCATTTAGTTTGGGTTGTTGAGCATCTACAAATATTCCTTTCCCAGCTTGTCTCATGGAGTCTTTGCGATCCCACCGGCTGACTCGAGAAGACAAATTTTCGACAATGAGACATTTATTCTGTTTCTCCAGGTGGTGCGTTTCTTCTGTCATTTCATGGACGGCGGTTGCTGAAATGATCAGAATGACTCCCTCCACCTCTTCCATCTCTAGAACGGACTGTAGCGTGTTGAGTTGTAACTCTTTTCACATCGCAGAACTTTTTTTCCATCCAATTCATCGAACATATCCTCGACCTCTTCTGGGATCTTCAAACTACACACTTCCTCCCTCCTTTCTGAGTTCATGCCATTCCCTTGTTTGTTTGTTTGTTTGTTTTTACAACAAATGGTCCATCAGCAGGTCAAGAAACCATGGATGGAAGCTAATAAAGGAGAGGGACAACCTAGAACTAAGGAGAAATTTCCTGATCATTGGAATGACTTGCCTCCAGAAATTGTGGGTGCTCCATCACTGGAGGTTTTTAAGAAGAGACTGGACAACGATTTGTCTGAAATGGTATAGGGTTTCCTGCCTGAGCAGGAGGATGGACTAGAAGACCTCCAAGGTCCCTTCCAACTTTGTTATTCTGAGTCCACCAATCCAAAACTTCTCTTCAGATCAATGTCTCTGAGGTGTCCATATCCTTTAAATCAGGGTCCCCAAACTTGGCAGCTTTAAGACTTGTGGACTTTAACTCCCAGAATTCTCCAGCCAGCTGCTGGCTGGAGAATTCTGGGAGTTGAAGCCCACAAGTCTTCAAACTGCCAAGTTTGAAGACCTCTGCAAGAATCTCTCTATGTCTTTCTCTCTTTTGCCTGGATTCAGCCTTCCAATGAATCCATGACAGCCACTTAAGATAGAATTGTCGTTATTAATTGCGAAGTCATGTCCAACCCATCGCGACCCCATGGACCACGTTCCTCCAGGCCTTCCTGTCCTCTATCATCCCCCGGAGTCCATTGAAGCTCATGCCGACTGCTTCAGTGACTCCATCCAGCCACCTCGTTCTCTGCTGTCCCCTTCTTCTTTTGCCCTCAATCGTTCTAAGATAGAATAGGATTAGTTAAAAAACAAAAGTGCAAGCATCAGTCGACAAAGACTGATGTCCTCGCCTCAACTCACACATCTGATATTTCTACAACGTCATCTTCACTCAGAAGAAAACCAGAATGAATACAAATCAAACTTATCCCTCTTCCCTTCACTTCTCACAGAGGTGGAATACATATTAACTGCCATTTTCTGCTGTAACAACTCAGGCTGATTCACCTTCTCCAATTTCCCCAGGGTTGTTGTGGTTTTTTTTTTAAAAAAATCAATTTTAGTATCCCTTTCGATGTTTCTAACGCTTAAGGCTTTCTGCCTGAAACTTGACGAGAAAAACCAGTATTCCTCTCATTTGTAAGTTTTCCTACAGGGTTCCTTTTACTGGCCTCGCTGCACTCAAATATGGTCCCATTTTGAGTGACTTTTGCAACTTAAGTGTTACTTGCTCTTTTTTTTTTTTTAATTTGATTTATATGCCGCCCTTCTCCGAAGACTCAGGGCGGCTTACAATGTGCTCAGCAATAGCCTTCATCCTTTTGTATATTTATACAAAGTCAGCTTATTGCCCCCACAAACTGGGTCCTCATTTCACCTACCTTAGAAAGGATGGAAGGCTGAGTCAACCTTGAGCCTTGGCGAGATTCGAACCCTGCAGTAATTGCAGGCAGCTGGTCTTAATAAGCTTAATAACAGGGTGCCTTAAACCCCTGTACTACCAAAGCTCTTCTTTTGAACTCTTCAGTATTCATTAAAAGGATGCAAAAGGGGAATCCTTTTCTCCTCCGTGGGATCTTAAGTGTGGTAGGAACTGTGTTTCCTTCACATCCTTCTGAGTCTAGGTGGCCTTCTCCAAGTGGAAAAGATTTGGGGCCCTGTGTCCAGGTTTTTCAGCACACAAATTGGTCCTGCCCTTAACATCCTCAGCCTGGTCATCTACACAAATCACATTTTCCACCTGGCTGGCATCTGCGACAATCCTCTCTTTTTATTGTCCTCTTTGGGGGTGTTGTGTTTCTCTTCAGGGAGGTGAGTCTGAGTCGCTGCAGTTCCCCTGGTCTTCTCTTCTTCTTCTTCTTCTTCTTCTTCTTCTGCTGTCAGGCATCACCGTTTCCTGGGTTTGGGATCAGAAATGGGCAAGCAGTGAGTTAGCCCTTTAATCCAACCTCCCCTGTTTAAGACAAGAGACTTTTTCCTACCCTGGTCAAACGATTGTCCGGTCTGTTTTTTGAAACCTTCCAGCAATTGGCATTCAAAACGTCCCATTTTGAATCCAAAAAGCTTTTATAATCTCCCACCCCAAAAATTATAATAATACTAATCCTCTTTTGTGTTGTGAGGTGAAGCGCCCCATCTTCGTTCGTTCTGGAAGCGTTTGAAATTCAAGACCGTTCCAAAATGATTGGAAAAAGGTTCGTTTTGCTTTTGAAAGAAGATTCTGGAGATGGAGCATTTCTAATCTGGGGTATCTCGAATTTGAAATTAGTATCCAGTTGAATGTTTGAAACATGTCCTTAATTGTTTTGTTGTGAGAAGGTTAGCATACCATCGACTCCTTTAGCAAAGCGGTAGTAGTAGCACAGGTCATAGAAATAGTTGGCGAGATAAAATGAATTACTGTATCTTACTCATTGGACATTTCTTTCCTTCCTCCCTCCCTCTCTCCCTCCCTCCCTCCTTTTCTTTACTTTTCTTCTTCACCCATCCATCTATCCCTGTCTCCCTCCCTCCCTCCTTCCTCCCTTCACCTTTGTTGACTCTTCCCTCCCTCCCTCTTCCTTCCTTCCTTCCTTCCTTCCTTCCTTCCTTCCTTCCTTCCTCTTTTCTTTTCTTTTCTTTTCTTACTTTTCTTCTTCCTCCATCCATCCCTCTCTCCCTCCTCCCTTCACCTTTGTTGACTCTTCCCTCCCTCCTTCCTTCTCCTTCCTTCCTTCCTTCCTTCCTTCCTTCCTTCCTTCCTTCCTTCCTCCCTTTTCTTTTCTTTTCTTTTCTTTTCTTACTTTTCTTCTTCCTCCCTCCCTCCCTCCTCCTTTCACCTTTGTTGACTCTTACCTCCCACCTTCCCCTCCCTCCCTCCCTCCCTCCTTCCTTTTCTTTTCTCTTTCTTGAGTTTGACTAGACTTGGGTTTAATCATTCCTTCTCATAGTGTAATTGGATTTACTGTTAAAAATAGTTATGCTGTTAAAAGAACAACAACATATGTAACAGAGTTGCTCCTTGTTTTACAACTTCTGGCTATTCACGGGACGTAGAGAAGTTGGTCCAACCGTTTCCATTTTTATAATAAGCCTGGAATGCTTCTTATCTGACAACTAAATCATCTCTGCTCTGGGTATGTGGGGGGGGGGTTCTTTTGAGAAAAAGCAAAACAGCTGGACGATTAAATGGCTTAGTTCTTTCCTTCTCCCCCTCCATCCCATCTCTCATTGCAACACAACCAGCATTACTGCCAAACCATGAAGTGTGGTCCATATTTGTATCAAGTTTTTAACATGACATATATTTCCCCGAAGTCTGATTGAGAAGGTTTTTAGGTCTTGTTATCTTGAACAATTTTAGTATCATCCCTTTCGATGTTTTTTGAGGCTTTTTCTTGCTGAAACTTGACGAGAAAAATCAGTATTGCTGTCGTTTGTAAGTTTTCTTACGGGGATTCCTTTTACTGGCCTTGCTGCGCTCAAAATACGCAGTGCCCCATTTTAAGTGACCTTCGCAACCTAAGTGTTACTTGCTCTTTTGAAGTCTTCAGTATTCGTTAAAAGGGACGCAAAACCCTCCATGGGATTTTCAGCGTGGTGGGAACCCATTCTCCTCCACGTCCTTCTGAGTCAAGGTGGCCGTCCCCAGGCTGAAAGGATTTTGGGTCCTCTGTCCAGGTGTTTCAGCACACAAACTGGTCCTGCCCTTAACATCTGGTTGGTCACCATGGAAATCTTCTAAAAGACTCCATGGATCAGATGTAAGCACGGTTTTTTTAAAAAAAAGAACGACAGCTGCGTAACGGTCTTCAAAATGGGGGCCTTGAACCCTCTGTGTGTGTGAGAGAGGCTTTCTCCACTCTAAATTCATGGAATGGACATGGCAGGAAGGATGAGGCAATTGTTGAGATGTCCCTTCAAGATGCTGAGCTTATTATTTTCCTTGGTTCCACCGAAGGCGTCCCTCTGTCGTGGTTTCTTTCCTCTGAATTATAAGCTTTCTGCTGAATGTATTGACATAATTCCAAGCAATGGATACGATTTCGAACTCCTGGGGTCAAATTCCGAAAGGAAATTACGAAGGAAAATTAAAGAAAGGGGGCGGGGCCTTGGGAAACCAAAGGATTGGTATCATCTAGAAGCCACGGTGATATTGTACGTTGTTCTGGTGTCATAGTGCAAATGATGGAGATTTCATAACTGACATCGTTTTCACCACCAGGCCCGTCCGTCACCCCTTGTGGGGTGTGGAGAGGGGAGAGACCCATGAGAGAGAAAAAAAATGACCTTGGGTCTGAATTGACATCATTTGTGTAGCTGTTCCTTGGAGTCCGTCCTCTGCGTTTTGCAAAATTGAAGGAGAACGATACAAATTCAAATGTCGATGATCTAGAATTCCTCCTTTGGTTTGTATTTGGGACAATTGTTCTCCAGAAAAGACAGGCCACGTAATACGGTTCCTTAAAACAGGGTCCTATCTGTGGGTTGCTACTCCCCACCCCACACGTTGTCATATTGCATTGTTTAATATTGTTAATATCAGCGTTAGAGTATTGTAAACAGAAGGGTGGGGATTGACAAGTGTCTAGTGCTTCATGGTAACCCTAATTAACTAATGGTTTGTTCATCAACCTTTGGACCTATTCTAGAAAACTGGAGTTCACACCACAGAGAGATATTTTGGTTTGAGATCAAGCGATACCCTTCGGTCCAAATCCTATCTGGACTCGCAGTTGAGTTGCGACAAGTCTAATTGACCTTCCGAATACCAGAGTGGATGTTTCAATCATGATTTGGAGTGGTTTGTACTGGGGTGGGGGGGGAAGTTAACCTATGACCCGGGCCCTCCCCCCCATTCTCTTCAGTGCTGCTGAATGGACAGATCAGTCTTTCTTCCCTTTCAACGCTACTTTTTTTGTGAATTTAAAAAGGCTGAAATGAGGCATAAAGCGAATTGTTTTGTAAAAATTTGTATAATACTGTGATAAAAAAAATAATAATTTATAATCTTAAAAAAAAAAAACCTGTTGTGTTGGATTATTGTGGAATAAACTGTATATTCAGAATAAAAGTTTATCCTTTGAATCGATGGCTTGTCTGTGGATTGTGAAATCCCTTTGTCTTTTAAAAAAGACAGCAATAGCGTTTAGACCGCCTTCTGCCGCCAATAGCCTCCCACCGGCCAGTTCGCTCCCACAGAGAGGGACTCCTCAGGGTGCCGTCGGCCAGACAATGTCAGCTGGCGACCCCCAGGGGGAGAGCCTTCTCTGTGGCAGCACCTGCCCTCTGGAACGACCTGCCCCTGGAGATACGCACAATACTAGACCTCCGGACTTTTTGTCGGGCCCTGAAAGCACATCTTTTTCACCTAGCCGGGCTGGCTTGATCCCATCCCTTCCGTTTTAATTTGTAATTGTTTTAAATGGATAGCCAAAATTATTTAAATGTTTTTTAAATTGCTTTTAAATTTTATATGTTACGTTTTACCATGGCTGTTCACCACCCTGAGTCCCGTTGGAGAAGGGCGGTATACAAATTAAATAAATACTAAATAATACTAGACAAGGGGCTGGTAACCTTAAACACTCAGAGAGCCATTTGGACCCGTTTCCCACAGAAAAGAAAACACCGGGAGCCACAAAACCCTTCCCGTGCCTGACTATTTCTTGAGCGACCACAAAACTAGCATACGTAGTTGAATTAAACGTTCTGTTTTCTTCTGAAACTTTTCTTTTCTTGGATTTATCCATGGTTGGCCTACTGGGGGTTGAAAGGCTCAATAAATTGGCGGTTGTGACTCATATATTTTGAGCAACAGGGAGCCGCAGCAGAGGGATGAAAGAGCCACATGCGGCTCCAGAGCCACAGGTTGCTGACCTCTGGTTTAGACTTATGTACTGCCCCATAGTGTTCTACAGCACTCTCTAGTTTTTTCCCCAGATCTACTGAAATGAAAGGGGTTGCCCCACATTAAACAGGATACACTGTGTTGCTCAGAAGTGGGTTTCACATAATTTTACCACCTTTTCGCTGCGGGCCGAAAATGTGAGCGTGCGCACATGTTCACTTCACTCGCGTGCTCGCCTTCCACACATGTGTGCGCCTTCCGCACATCTGTGCAGCCTTCCACACATGTGCTTTACTCACATGCACAGCTTGCACACACATGCACGTGGCTTAGAAAACGTGGCTAAATAGGAAGGCATAGCGCTGGGGCGGGTGGACAGGCCCACCCCCATCCACAGGTCACCACTACCGGTTCACCCAACTGGTGTTGTTGTCAATTACAATTATGTCAGAATAACAAGAGTTGGAAGGGACTCTGGAGATCTTCTCATCCAACTTCTCATCTTCTCATCCAACTCATCCAACATCGTGGCGATCAGTTTTGGTTGCCCCGATGTAAAAAAAGATGTTGAGACTCTAGAAAGAGTGCAGAGAAGAGCAACAAAGAGGATTAGGGGATGACTGGAGGCTAAAATATATGAAGAATGGTTGCAGGAACAAGTTCAAGTTCAAGTTCTATCTGCCACTCACCTCAGTAGAAATGGGAATGCTGACGATTCCACGAAAGATATCTTTATTATTTCCAGAAGACCTTTTGAGTCATGCAAAATTGATACCTGGCTCCTATTCGCTTTTGCTGGATGGATTTTTTTTTTTTTGAAACAACCCTTTTTAAGTGCATTACCAAATTGTAAAACCACGCTTCCCTGGAGCAATTGAACTTTTACAACAGCTTTCAAGATTCTTACACCTTCAGTTAAAAAACAAGGGGGGCGGGGAGAGGGAAGATAAGCCCTCGGCCCATGGAAATGTTTGGGGTCCCAGTGTAAAATGAATTCTCTATCGCAATTGCACGCTCTTTAGCTAATGCCAACTGAGAATTCTCATTGAATTCATGTAAGCTTCAATTGCTCTCCATAAGACGCATATTAACTTTGAACGCTCTACTGCCCCCTTATTTATAGTCAAGGCATGTTCCACCCAATTTTAGTTGACAATATTATTCAAGCAAAACCCTAGATAGATATTAAATGGATGATCAAAGCCGTAGCCAATATATCTGGAAATCAATGACTAGGAGCATCTGGTTATGATAACAGAATAGAGTAGAGTAGAGTAGAGTAGAACAGAACAGAACAGAACAGAACAGAACAGAACAGAACAATAGAGTTGGAAGGGACCTTGGAGGTCTTCTAGTCCAACCCCCTGCTTAGGCAGGAATCCCTTGAACCATTTCAGACAAATGGTTGTCCAATCTCTTCTTAAAAACTTCCAGTGTTGGAGCATTTACAGCTTCTGGAGGCAAGTTGTTCCATTGATTCATTGTTCTCACTGTCAGGAAATTTCTCCTTAGTCCTAAATTGCTTCTCTCCTTCATTAATTTCCACCCGTTGCTTTTTGTCCTGCCCTCAGGTGCATTGGAGAATAGCTTGACTCCCTCTTCTTTGTGGCAGCCCCTGAGATATTGGAAGACTGCTATCATGTCTCCCCTAGTCCTTCTTTTCATTAAACTACCTTCAAAAGTATCCACCTAAAAAGACTTTATTCAACTGTGCTAAAGTATTGTCCATCTGGGTGTTTTTCTGAACTACATTTTCACCGAAGGGTTCAAGTACTATCTGGTGTCCACCTTGGTAGACATGGGATCAGAAATGCTGACGATTCCACAAAAGGTATCTTTATTATTTCCAGAAGACCTTTGAATTCCAGCAACCATTCTTTAGATGTTTCTAGCCTCCAGCCCCCTAATCATCTTTGTTGCTCGTCTCTGTACTCTATAGCTCTGAGAAGAGACGCAATCTTCAAGAATCTAGACAGATGTCTACTGAAAATTCAGGGTGGGCTCCTTTTTTTTTTCTTTTAAGGTTATTTTCCAGACAGCCAAACCTCACCGACCAAACTCATGCACGTCGTCAAGGCCACATATATTTAATATAGGATCTATGGTGGAGGCTAAAACATCTGCAGGAGGGGGTAAAAAAATACCCAAATTAGCAGCATGGTTTCTTTTTTTTTCCAGTTGACTTCCTCAGTGTTTTGTCTTGTGGTTTTCCATTTCAAAATTAATATTTCTGAGTTGATTGATCTGGAGCGTTCACATCGTGGGCACCCAACCGAAAGAAGGAAACGTATTGATTTAAAACACAGGAGACAATTTCCGAAATGCTCTTCGGGTTCCTAAAACATCTTTCTAATCCAGAACAGCAGGCGTGCTATTCTCAGCCAGTTTTCTGATCTCTTGCCTTGTCTGGTGTTATAGTTTTGACATATCTTGACGTCTTTGTTTTGACAAATAGCCTTTTGTACATCCTATGCTATGAAGTACAGATGTGCTGTGGATAAGGAGCTCCGAATAAGAGCATTGGACTATCTTCCTGGGACATCCCTCTGTGTAGCATTTGTAATCGTTTACAACTGATTTATCTATACAGGTAGTCCTCAACTTACAACAGTTTGTTTAGTGACCATTCAAAGTCCCATTCCCCACCATTCACTCAGAGCTGAGGAAGCTTCTCGGAGGAGAAGCAAAACATCTTCAGAGAAAAGTTCAGTTAAAAAAAGCATCTTTGGGACAACGATGACCTGGATGAGTGAGAATCTCCATAGACATTCAAAGTTACAATCTAGTTTAAGGAAAAGAAGGATTAAGGGGTGACATGATAGTGTTCCAATATCTCAGGGGCTGCCACAAAGAAGAGGGGGTCAAGCTATTCTCCAAAGCCCCTGAGGGCAGGAAAAGAAGCAATGGGTGGAAACTAATCAAGGAGAGAAGCAACCTAGAACTAAGGAGAAATTTCTCAACAGTGAGGACAATTAATCAGTGGAACAACTTGCCTCCAGAAGTTGTGAATGCCCCAACATTGGAAGTTTTTAAGAAGATGTTGGCTAACCATTTCTCTGAAGTGGTGTAGGGTTTACTACCTAAGCAGGGGGTTGGACTAGAAGACCTCCAAGGTCCCTTCCAACTCTGTTATTCTATTCTAATTGGCACTAAAAAATGTGACGTAGGACCGTTTTTCACACTTATGACCATTGCAACATCCCCATGTATTGTGTGATCAAAATTCAGATGCTTGGTGATAAGCTCATATTTATGACAGTCCTGGGATCACGTGATCACCTTTTTGTGACTTTCTGATAAGCAAAGTCGATGAGGAAGACAGACCAGAAAAGTTCTGAAGCAGTCATGGTAATTTCAAGTTGGAGCAGTGAATGGACTTTGGAATGGACTTTGGATGTCTAGAAATGATGTGATAGCATCAGTGGTGAAATTCAACTTTTTTTACTACCGGTTCCGTGGGCGTGGCTTGGTGGGCATGGTGTGGCTTGGTGGGCATGGCTTGATGGGCGTGGCAGGGGAAGGATACTGCAAAATCCCCGTTCCCTCCCCACTCCTGAGGAAGGGATATTGCAAAATCCCCATTCCCTCCCCACTCCTGAGGAAAGGGTATTGCAAAATCCCCATTCCCACCCCACTCTGGGGCCAGCCAGAGGTGGTATTTGCCGGTTCTCCGAACTGCTCAAAATTTCCGCTACCGGTTCTCCAGAACCTGTCAGAACCTGCTGGATTTCACCTTTCGGTAGCATGATCGCCTTAAGCAAAGGGCTGTTGTGGTATCAATCTGACGTTTATTAATATTTATTATTTGGGCTGCCAAGGAGGAAGGATTTTCTGCCTCAGCTATCAAAATAATTTCCTCGAGCCTTTGCTCTGTGTAGTTCCTTGATTTATATCCTCCTAGGCCAGCAATAGATCTTGAGCCCGTCCGCTAAATAGTTCCAAAAAGCTTGGCCTCCAGTAGACCACGGAGACATGTCTTCTGATGTGGAGACATTCTACTCTAGAGAGAAAATCCATATGGTGGACTTTCAGTTCTGTGCTCCGGCTACAAGAAGCCAAATAAACTCCTGCATTGTTCTCAGGGGAAAAAAAAAACCCGTTACTCAGCCTGTCAAACCACAGGAAGAGAAATATATTTTGCATTGGCCCTTACCTGAAATCTCACTGCCAATCAGCACCAGCCATCTAATGTTCTGATTTATCATCTCTTCCAAGGTGGGGACAGCATCGATCCTAT